TGTTGGTTTTGCCCAGTGTTAACATCCTGCTTGAAAACCCCCTGAAATGCTACAATCCAGAGACCTGTGCAAACAGTTCTGTACACCCAGTGGGGCTTCTGACGACATTGCTTAAGCCTCCTGCCTGCAAAGGCCAAGTGCCAGAAGGCATGCCTAAAGTAGCTTGCTGGATTGGGCCTGTTTTAATTGCAGTCTAATCCCAGCCCACATTGTCAAAAAGTTAAAAAGGTGTTCCTAAGGACACACTTTGGAGTAAGTCCTATTGAACACATTGAGACTTTCATCCTGCCCTTCTTCCAAGGCAGTGTCAGTTCCAGATGGGGGGGCTGGACACAGAGTGTCCAAGGGTCCCCTCCCTTCCCCACCATCAGGTCCCCGACTCTTGCATCCCATCCCACTATCCCACTCATGTACCCCCCACCTGACTGTTCCTGTTTCCCCGCTCTCTTGCTGCTACTCGTAAAAGGTGCAAAATGCTTTCTAGCCTTAGTCGTGCTTCCATTGTCTACAACAGGGGTTCCCAGCCTTTTTGAGCCTGCGTGCACATTTGGAATCCTGACAGAGCATGGTGGATGCAGCAATAAAATGGCTGCCACAGGTGGCGGAGCCAGCCACAAAATGATTGCCACAGCTTAACTTCAGTAAGCTGTGATAGCAGCTGCTGCCAAAGCAACATTTAAAAAAAAATCTGCATAGCCAATCAGAAGCCTTTCTGCACAAAAGCCCTCCCTGGCCCCACCCACTTCCTAAAAACACCTGGTAGGCACCAGGAAAGGTGTTGGCAGATGCGATGGTGCCCATAGACCCCTGGTTTATAAAGTGGGTTACTGCCAGTTGGAGAACTGAATCAGTTGAAACAGCTGGTGACCGGAAGCCATGTGGTGTGTCTCTGATATGAACCCTTGTCCAGCACTCATGGCTAGTAAACCTCATTAGCTTTTCCCATGTTAGGATCATGTGGTGAAAGCGTCAGTTGTCACTGGATGTGCAGCCTCATTTGCTGCAGCATTAGACTCCATGAGGGGGTGCACCAGTGGTAGTGGTGGAGAGAATAGCGGCAGCCCAAAGGTTTTCTTTGTATGGCTTCTCTGGTTGCCACTGATTTCAACAAGACCAGCAAAATTGGATCTTTTGCAAGCTGTCGCTAATTGTGCATTCCTCTCAGAATATTTAGCTTGAGGCTTCTCTTGCTTGACTTTAAGAAGTGGCTATTTAAGAACTCCAGCGAAAGTTAATGAAAGCTACTTAACGTTCGGCACTACTTTTACAAGAAATCAGTGCTTGCTACCTCCAGCCAGGCAAGCGGAACCATTGCCTGTTATAGCAGATCATGTCTTTAATGTCATTGCTTCCTTTCCCTGTCTGTAAAGTCGAGATATTTTATGATGGCAGGTAATATAGAAAGCCTGGGAGGTTCATAATTCCATATTCAGTATGGGAATTTGAATCATATGCGTCAGTGTGAATAAGCAGTACTGCAGCTGCTAAATTTGCTTTCTGGGCCACCTCTTTCCATCCCATTTCACTCCAGAGGAAATCTTGAAGAATATAGTTTTGCAGGGTTTTTAATCTCTGGAGGGAGTAACTGCTGGTTTTAGGCACTGAAGTGTTCAACAGTTCAATAATTGCTCTTTCTTTCAGGCGGACTGTTTTTCAAATGACATTCACAAACTGGATACCAGCAACATGATGTGGAGCCTGATCGCTACTAAGGTCAGTCCTGTGTTAGGACCTAGGTTTAACCTGTGGTCTGAAGGGAGCAGAATTGTAGGCACCCAGACTACATCCCCTCCCACATCTATTTTGTCTTAACTTCCATTTTCCTTTTGACTGACTTAACAGGAGTCTCTTATTTCAGGGCACCCCAGCTCGTTGGAGGGACTTCCATTCAGCCACAATAATCGGGACAAAGATGTATGTGTTTGGGGGAAGAGCAGACCGCTTTGGGCCATTCCACTCCAACAATGAGATCTACTGTAACCGAATCAAAGTGTTTGACACAGATACCAACTCTTGGCTGGACTCCCCTCCCACTCCAGTCCTCCCTGAAGGCAGAAGGAGCCACTCAGCATGTAAGCCACAATCAGACTGTGGAACATGAGATGTGGGAGAGCTGAGTGAGAAAAGGGAGAATGCTATACCTTGCAGGTCAGGTGAAAGTCTTCAGAAGAATATTGGCCTGTGCTTTTTGGAGAAAGCAAGTAATGTTTCCAGGGGAATTTGCAAGCGTCATTGTCTTACTGTCCCCCCCTTACTTTTCTGTCTTCAGTCTTGCTAGTCTCCCATGGCTAATATCCTTTTTCGAGTGAAGTAAAGAAGCTCAGGAAATGGGAGTCACAAGTCCATTCCTTATCGTGTTGTTCTCTCTCCCTTTCCTTCATCCTCATCTGAGGTTGTTCTTAATCCAAGACAAGTGGACAATTTTAGTTATGAATGTGAAAAGGAGGCTGAATCAAAACTCTTTAAGTTGTAATGGATGCTATTAGGAGGAGGAGGAGGAGGAGGTTTATTGGTATAACAACTGTATTACAACCAGGGGTCATTTCGTAGAAAAAGAGGTGCAGGAGCTCATTACCATAACTTACTTGCATGTGCCACACCCCCTTACATCACCGGAAGTGTGTCAGAAGGCAACACCCACCGCTCAGGCTCCACTGGACTGTTTTGGATTGCTAGCTATTGGGGGGGGGGACGTGCAGATCTGTCCTCACAGAGGAGGGAGAGCTTGTACCTTGGTCTTAAAGGTGCCACTGGACTGTTTTGGACCGGGGGGCTGGGGGGGGAGGCTCTGCAGCTTGCCTGGCTGCTTCTTGCTCTAACTGAGGGCTGCTGGGAGCAGGGGGTGGGGCTTGTTGCATGTGCCCTCCCCCTGGGCTCTTTACTGCCGGAGCTCCGCTCCTGTGCGCTCCTGCAAGAAATGACCCCTGATTACAACAGAAAAAGAAAAACAGTCTGAACAGTCAAGGCCCTGTCTGCTGATACATTGCTCGCCTTCTAGATGCAAGGTGCACAAATTTGGCCGCAGTTTCAATCACCATTTGGTTCCGAGTAGATAATAAAAAATAATTTTACAGGATGCTATTAGGAGACTGGAACAAGCTGAATGACATTTCGGATGTTCTGACATATCTCTTCTCTGTTCCCTGCAGTCGGCTATAATGGAGAGTTGTACATATTTGGGGGTTACAATGCACGCCTCAACAGACACTTCCACGATCTCTGGAAATTTGATCCAGGTATTTGGACTGAAACTTCCGTCTTATTATATTGGCATTGCAGGGACCTTCAAGGTTCTGTGTCGTCATCAGGGCAGCAGTTGCACATTGAACCCCTTTCATCTGTGTTCCAAGAGCTTCTGTATATTTTATCTGCACGACACACGTGCAGTAGGCATATTTAGAACGTGTTTGCAAAAATGTAAAGAGGGATCCCATAAGTAATACTGCCAAGGGGTCGTCATTTGGAGGCCAACTCACATGATTAGTTGACATACCAGATGCTTTTATAGTAACACAGGCATTTTTGTGGCATCCTCTCCTTTTGTATTGAACCGCACCAGCTTATTAGTGGTCACTGGTTTTGTGTGTGTGTGTGTGTGTGTGTGTGTAAGTGCCATAAGTCACAACCAACTTATGTGACCCCCTAGACAGGGGCTTTCAAGGCAAGAGAGAAGCAGAGGTAGTTTGCCATTGCCTTCCTCTGCAGAGTCTTCCTTGGTGGTCTCCCTTCCAAGTATTGACCCTTCTTAGCTTCTGAGATCTGATGAGATTTGTACCATGCTGCTGTCCCTCCCTGATCACTGGAGTAAAAGTATTGGAGGGTCTTAGGAGATCTAAATCCAAATCACAGCTTTTTTATTAACTTCATTTATTTTTTAAAAAAATTGTATCCTGCCTTTCCTTGTGGTTCAGGGCAGCTTACAATATTAGTTTAAAACATTTTCAATTAAAGCCAAAAATAAAACGGCAAACCCCCACATGTCTCCCCCCTGCCACCTTGAAAGATGCCTGCCAGAGCTTAGCCAGAGATTCATTTGGCCAAGAAAACTCTGGGCTTTAGTTGTCTGCAGCAGAATTTGGAATTAAAAGGTGAATGATTCTGCTCATACAGTTTGAAGAGTTTCCAGTCTCATTGTTCCAAAGGGCTTTACCACTTCCCATTGTTCCAAAGGGCTTTAGTGCAGTACTCCAAGGAAAATAATCTTCAGATTGTTTCTGCTGCTGTCTGCAACTTCCTGCTCAGCTTTCCCCTTGCTCCAGTTGACCTACAAGCTCTGAACTGCAGTCTGGAAGGAGTGAATTTGAAAGTGTAGCGTATCTGGCACTCTCTCACACACCTGCTGCAGATTGAATGAGGTCATGGAATCCCCACTGTTCATCTCCTTTCTCCCCTTCAACAAAGAGTTATTGTGGGTTGAACTTGTGCTGTGAAGTCAGTAGGTTCTCACCACAGCATAGCTCAGCTCAGCTCACTGGTCTCTGTGCTAACATCATCTTTTCCCTAAGAAGTTGTTTCTACTGACCGGTCACCCAAAACCGTGGCAAGAACAAGTATGACTTAATTGGGTTGGAATCCACTGGTGTGTTTCTGTGGATGGAAGGATTCCTGCCGGCAGAGCATGGCATTTGGACTGGAGTGGGAGAAGAGAGGTGAGGAAGTCACGCTCTGAGGGCAGGAATCCGTCATCCCTGGAAACCCTCCGTTGGATCCAACCTGCTAAACGTAACAGCATTTGGTATTTTGAAGTCGGCTGATGACAAATTCCCTGAATGTTTTGGCACGGATAGAACCATAAAAGAAAACATCTGGGGGTGGTTTGCTATTGTATGCTCCAAGCGAGCATAGTTTTCTTCCTGTCTTTATTATGTTCCCATAGTTAACCCATTCATCTCTACTTCCGGTAGAGTGCTGCAGACTTCTTTGTGGATATGCCGTTTTAGATTATTTCTGTACTTCCCGTAATTACCAACAGATGGCAGTGTGTCACCATTAACTGTTCAAAAGAGCTTGTTAAGCATATTTCTGCAGAATGGTTTGGAAAGGATGATCTGTGGATTTTTTTTTCCGTCTATGAGTTTTGTCATCTTCCTCTCATTTCCCCTCCCAAGCAATTGCTTTTTCCGGGATCCTTATGCAACAAAGATATGAAGTCAGAATTAAATCAATTGGAATCTTGGAAGCGTAAGATCCTTGGTCTATTGAAGAGCTCCCTTTCGGGAATACATTGCCTAAACTGTCATGTAATGTAGAATTTCATTGCTTCTTAGCATCTTCTGAGATGGTAGGAAAATTGCTCACCACCTTTTAACTGTTAGAGGCGAGTTCAGCGTGCAGTGTGCACCACTGTGTATTGCAGCATATGAGTTTTGAGCTCGTTCCGTTTGGTACTATTGGTGAAAAAGCACGTGCTTGTCTTAGTAGGAGGTTTCTATGTCAAAGAGATCCTTGCTGCACCCTGTGCAAAGTATCTAGAGTACAAGTAAGCTTTTTTTGGGGGGGAGATTATGATATTTGAAATCCTGAACAACCTGTCATACTTCCAGGTAGAAATCCTCAAGTTCTTACACTAAAACATGTCTACCCAGAGTAGAGTGGGATCCCGCTTGCTATGAGATACTTTCTGTGCAAAATAAAAGGCTTCGTCCTATAGCATCTTGAGTGCAGTCCTCCCCTGGAACTCACCTTTTTGTTATGGTTGAGACAAAGCGAGTAAGTAAGCCAACGGAAAAGCCAGTGGAGGTCTGGAAAGTCCTGGGTTTGGTACTTCATGTTACCGAGTCTTTTGCTACCTGGTTCTGCTTCAGAAACTGTGAAGTCTTCCCACAGCTCATCCATGTGATCTGTATTAGGACTGTTTGAGATATGCCACTTTCATGGTGTGTGTGTGTTTTTCTCCAGTTTCTTTTACCTGGAAGAAAATTGATCCCAAAGGGAAAGGGCCATGTCCTCGCCGCAGGCAATGCTGCTGCAGGATAGGGGACAAGATCATCCTTTTTGGAGGAACCAGGTGAGTGGTGTTACACACTGGCAGGCTTTTTTAGTGGTCTGGTTCCTGTAGATTTGTAAATGTATAGGTGTGTGATGGATGGTACACCAATAATAACAGTGCTTCCTTGAGAATGTTCATGAGAGGACCAGAAGCAGGTCTGATGCCTCTCTCGGGCACTGTATGTATTCTGTTCAGTCTGGTTCATGGAGGTGATTCTAACCTCATGGTTCATTTCCATGCACCACTCTCCTGAGCCATTAGCCGAAAGCTTTACCCTAAACTCTTCTCTAATACTCCAGAATTACCTCACATATTAGTTGCAGTAATTAGTGCAATTAAGATACTATGAAACCACCAAATATCAAGTCAGATAAATGACCCATCTGCCTCAATATTCCTTAGCTCATTCTTTACATAAGGACAGGATCTTGTGCTGCTGCTCTAGGTTCAAGGTAGGATGCGTATCATACATATAATAAAGTGCAGCTTTTAGACTAATTTGGGAAGCCTTGGATTTTAGAGCCTGCCCATGTTCATTTTGAGTAATTTCATAGTGTAAATTAATCTTTTCTCCCAGACATTTGAGGTTCTTGTCCCTTATCTTTGCCTTTTAAAATGTATTTGTTCAGTGCATTAAATTGGTCAATGACCCTGACACATGACATTCCAAGCTCAGTCATTATTTTTAAGTCAGAGTTCATTCTGCTTCTAGATTCCATAGAATTTGATCAGATCTTTAGAAAGAACAGTCTTGGAGCATTCTAATGGTTTTTTAGTTCCTGTTTCCAAACATGGAACTTTTCTAGATAGTAACTATTCCCTGGGTAAGCAATGCTCCCTCTAAGATGTGGAGTCTTGTGTGCAAAAATTCTACTTTGTGAGCTAATGGCATTAAACTTGTGAATAAGCAATTTGGCTACTGCATAAATCAGTTTGCTCTGAAGCCATCTGTGACGACCTCTTATTTGGGGAGGTCTAGTTTTACTTTAAAATGTTCTTTCAGTTTTACTCTGTAGGGTATTCTGGCTGCCACCAGGGAAATTTAGGCTTTCCCAAACCTTTTCCTTTAATATTTTTCCTCCTGGTTTTGGTATTGTGACCCAGGGTTTGGGCTTTCGAAGGACTATGTGTTTCCTGGGAAGAATTTCGTTCAGAACTTGTGTCTTAAATAAAAGTAGATTTATTTGATGTTCACACACTCTTCCCTCTTATTGACAGGGATCAGGGCATGTCACTTTGTAACAATATTTTCCTTAGGCCATATATGGTTACTGTTTCTTTATGCTTTAACTTTTCATAACACACACAAGACTTCTCTCTCTCAGACCTTAAAACGAACAAACTGCTTAACTCTTTTACTACACAGAACCCAATCTTTCCCTCGCAGGGAACTCAGGACAACTCTCATATTAACTGCTTTTATACAGCACTCTCTGCTGACTGACTAACTGTCTCAATCAACCTTAACTGTCTTAATCAACTGTCATACCTAACAGACACACCCGATAGACATTCCAATCATCCACACAGCATCCATTCCAAAACCCCTCCCCTTCTCTGTCACTCACCAATCATACCACTTGCCTGCTTCCAGCACTCTAGAATATCACAGCCATGCAAACTAAACTTTTAAAGACGCACACACACAAAACATGAAATCGTTACACCATCCTTCCTGAGCTAAGGAAAAAATGTGTGAGCCAGAGGCTAAAAAACTGTGAGCTAGATCACACTAGCTCAGCTTAGATGTAAAATTTTAAATTGCATCCACCATTGTCAACCAGTGTGATTCATTGTAGAGTGATGGACTTGGGAAATTCATATCCCAGCTTTAGAATGTACCGAGATATACATAGTTTTAGCTTTGAGCTCAGGATTGAAGCACACCCTTGCATTTGGGACACACGTAGTGCCCCCTCCCTGGATCAAGCTCACCAGAAACCTCATGGTTTTAATCTGCCTATGGAAATGATAACCCACTACTCATGTTGAAACCAACACATGTACAAGGGGAGCAGATGCAAACAAGCTAGACCCGCTTACATGCAGTCTCCAGCTTTTAAGCATGTGGTCGACATGCGGAGACTCCTTCCCTATGGCTGAGAATGTTTGAAAAGGCAGGATTCCTGATCGCAGGAAGGGAGCTTGTACATGTAGATTCTGTGCTTCAAGCTGATGATTGCACAGAGGTGATTTCAGCAGGCTTGGGTCCACTTCCCCCCTTTGCAAATGCTGATTTTATTGCGTGTCGTCTCATGTGTGGAAGGCCACACCAGTAGCCTTGGATGAGTCACTTGGTTCCATATCAGTAAAGGGGCATTGTTAATGCTCTACTTCTCAGGGCTGCTGTGGGAATTAATGAAAGAAGATTATAAAATACTAAGTACATTGAAATAATAAAGCTATAGAAATCATAAAGCCATTATGGGAACTGTACACATTAAGTTAATTTATATGTGCCTTTGTGGAATGGTTAACTGGGACAAAGACTTTCCTCCTTGTCCTTGGGCAGTCTTCAGCATCACAAAAAGTGATGCATCGCCTTTTCCTCCTGCCCTCCGCCCCATCTCCCCAATTCTACTTCAGTCTCTTTTCTTCAGAAAGATGAAACAACAGTCAGGATGACAGTGCCCCAAATAAGTGTTGCAAAGCTCCAGTTCCAAGTCAAACGTTTTTCAGTTCGGCCTTGAGACTTATGACTAAAACGATCTCTGCAGAAAACGAGAGGGTCATGCAGTCACACTTCTGCAATACACAAATGTGGTCCAGAGATAAAGGTGTTTGTGGAAGGGAAGGCTGTGTCATACTGCATGTGGCAGCCATAGGGTGTCCATACGTCATATAAACACTGGACATCTGTATCCTTTGCAAGGGGCTATGTCTATTTCCTGTGTTGACATTCACCTCCTTTCTTGGACTATTGGTGAATGCCATTGCCTTTATGGGCTTTTCCACCCCATCAAAGCGTTCCACCCTTTACTCTTCATCCTTTGAAAGCTGCCCCCACAAGCCTCTTCTTTTTTTCCTATTCTTTCCCACAGTCTCTTGTATGTGATAGGGTATGCAGCTTCTCTTTCAGATATTTCCCCTCCCCCATTAATAAAATAAGCAGTAACTGATTAGATGTCCCTTCCAGTATAGGAGAGGAGGGAAAGCACTGTTGTGTCAGTTGTACCTTTAGGTTGCTAGTGTGTCAAAAAGAAAGTTATGACTGTAGTTCTCTTGGCTGCTTTCCTTTCATAGAGGTATTAGACTAGCTTACTGCCTTCAGTCCCCCGAGTTCATTGGGATGTACACTGCCTCTCTTCTGTTTGAACAAAGACAACCACAGAGTTCTCCCCTGCCCTTGTGCCTGTCAATTGGTGTAGATCAGAAATTGATAGGGACTGCTCAGGATGGGTCTGTTGTTTTTCTTCCATTTTGGATTGGAGGTGGGTATGCTAATTTAGGAAGGGGGGAGAAATGTAAAAATGCAGCAATACTTCTTGGACAAAGAACTGCATTTTCCCAGGCAAAAAATACTGTTGTTTAAATGGGGAGAGGTATAGTGCGTGCACTGCAAATGAGAAAACACATGCATTTGTTGCATGGTAAACTGACTGTTCAGAAAGGCCCATAGAAAGAGGAAGCAGCCAGGCACTCTTGTCTGTGACACTGACTGCAAAGCGATGAATCTCTGATGAGTGACAGAATTACCTCTCATGTCTTTACAAAGTTACATATGGGTGAATTTTCTAATGCCTTGGAGGGTTCCTAGAGTTAAGGATTGAGCTGTCAAACATTGGAAGTGAGTGCAGCAGGATGCAGGTCAACGGGAAGTGGTTGAGATACTTAACACCTGTTAAAAGGGAGGAAGTGCCTGTGTGTAGCAGAACCTTTGCCATATGAATTTTCCCTGGAGGGAAAGATGTTGGTGACAGTGACCATGTGTGCATATGCAAAGACAAGCATACTGATGGATTAAAAATTAACTTGTTTTCTCATATTTAGTCCCAAGTTTTGCAGTTCTTCCTTCGGATAGCCTTGAATGGACATTGCTTTTTGTTGTAATTAGCTTGGGATCATTCTGTGGCTTGCTGAGTACACACTTGATAAGAGGCTGCTGCCAATCCTAACTTTCTGATGAGTGCGTCTGTTTAGTACACATGCTTGACTCATGGGTTAAGCATCAGTGCTTTGCACTGGTCTTTGTTGCCGCTGCTGCTTGCTTCCTTTGTCACATCATGTATCGGCCTGTATGGAAATCAGGATTTTTGGTGAGATGGACTGCACCTCTGATCTGACTGAATTAGACTGATCTTGCATGTTGCTCGGACAGTTCCATTCATGAAGTATTCCTTCCATCATGGGGTGGCAGGAACTAGAAGGGCATCAAGTCAGACATCTCTCAGAAGCACAGGCCTCCACAAACATAGTAGTCCAGTCCATAGTGTGCCACAAGGAGAAGGTCAGAGTAGGTAAGATTAACTACGCATGATATCAAACTCTAAAACAGAGCAAAACCCAACCACAGAAATACTGAAATCTGCTTTTAAGGTAGAAGGAGGAGAATGGGAGTTAAGAAATTGCATGTATGCCGTCTGACAAAATAATTCTTGTCTGTGTTACAGTAGCGCATTAATAATGTACCAAAGGGATGCAGTGTCACAACAGTTTCAAGAACATTTTGAAAAGAGCAAGAGTTCAGTAGCACCTTAAAGACTAACAAAATACGTTGCAGGGTACTAGCTCTTCATGAGTCACTGCTCACTTCTTCAGACTCACGAAAGCTCCTACCCTGCCACATATTTTGTTAGTCTTTAAGGTGCTACTGGACTCTTGCTCTTTTCTACTGCTACAGACAGACTAACACAGCTACCCATCTTGATCTAAGAACATGTACTACTATTTAATCATTAGCCTTTAGTATTATGATATCAGAATAAGAATGTGCTGGAAAAAAATCTATTTTGTGCTTAATTGTTTTGGGTTATACTTCAAACCATTTCATTGTACAGTACAGTTCTTCATCTCTACTG